TCTCTCTCTCTCTCTCTCTCTCTCTCACACACACACACACACACACACACACACACAATCTCCTCTCTCTCTGGCTCATAAAAATCGAGGTAATTAGTCGTGCCCTGGTGAGAAGCAGAGAGCGCCCCAAAGCCTCGCTGCTTGAATCCTCTTCAGGGCTAGCTCTCAGAAACACAATCTGCAGACCAGATTTTCGTTCAAACATCCTTGCAGGAGAATTTGCCCTTGGCCCCCCAGCCAGACTGAATAAAATTATGCTGAAACTACCGGCCTTATTTGAGGAAAGTAATTAGTCATCAGTTCGAGGGGGTGGGGAGATTGCAGAAGAATGTTCATGAATATTAGCAAGAAGAGAGATTTTGCAAACGTTTGAAAAAACAGGCCTCCCTCTTCCACGGACACATCAGCTCCTATTCTGTCCATCTGCCCCTGGGGACACCCGGGAGGGGATGGGGAGAGGCAGGGACTGCCAGCCAGAGGGGACCCGGGCTTGAGCGGTCTCCTGCTGCTGTCTACAGGTTCTCCCTGGAGACTGAAGTTAACCTCAGGGGGCCGCTGGAGAACTTGGGAATGACCAACATGTTCACACCAAGCCAGGCGGACTTCACGAGGCTCTCAGGTGAGGGGATTTTCCCTCTTGTTTTCTCAGCCCAGTGGACTGTGAGGCCCCTAAGAGGACCCAGGATTCTCCCGCTGAGGGTGGTGGCTGACCCGCCCTTGTCTCTCTCTCTGTTTCAGACCAAGAGTCCCTCCACGTGTCGCAGGCACTGCAGAAGGTGAAGATCGAGGTGAACGAAAGCGGCACCGTGGCGTCCTCCTCCACAGGTGAGTCTGGCTCAGGTGACGCTCTGTGAGTCTCAGCCCGACTTCCGGGAGAGGCCGCTGCCAGGTACCTCCATCACCCTGCAGGACAATTAGGCCCCAACCCTGGGACGGACCCCACCGCTCTGCTCTGCACAGACCTCTCCTCTCAGAGTGGCTCTGCCTGCGCCCACCGAGCACCCTTCCCCGACCTGTGTCTCGGGCTGGAAAATGGGCCTGTTTTCCCCAGGACCCTGTTCCCTCGCCCGATGGCTCCTGAGGTCTCTGAATGTGAAAAAGCCTCCCAAAGGAAAGCCCACGTTTTCCCCACAATGGGTAGTAGACGCACAAAACATGCTTATCGAGGAGACTAAAGAGATTTAAACAAATACGGCGCATCTACTAAACTCCTGGAGGAAACCAGGTCTCAGGGGACATCCCCAAACTTTTAAGGCCCATATTCAGAACCATCGAGGCTTTTCGAGATCACCTCTCCGAGCTGCCGCCAGACAGAAGGCTGGCGTCCATGGGTTACTTGTGATCAATCCAGATACCCGTGCCAACATTCCGCTATTCTAAGACAGTGTCTCTTTCTTCCAGCTGTTATAGTCTCATCCCGGATGGCCCATCAGGAGCTCATCATGGACAGACCCTTCCTCTTTGTGGTCCGGCACAATCCCACAGGTGAGCCTGGAACCCCACCATGTTCCGTGTCCTCCCCACATGTTCTCCTTTGACTCCGCAGCCGTCCAGACAGAGGCAGACACCCCTCTGTCCCGGAGAGGGCTCTGGGATAACCATATCCCGGTCCCCTCTCCTCTCCCCAGAGGAGGAAGTCCTGGATCACAGAAAGGCAGTACTAGGACTCGTCACTCAGGCAGCTGTGACTCCAGACAGCTCACTCGCCTTCCCAGATCTTGTTCCCTCCACCCACATGCAGCTGGGTGAGCTGTCCTGTTCTTTCCGCTTCTCAACTCCCGTGATTCTTCCACCCTCAGGGACAGTCCTTTTCGTGGGCCAAGTGATGGAGCCCTAACCGGGGGAAAGAAGCCTTCGTCTGGGACAAAACTGGAGACTATTGGAAAAGATGGAACTCCGAAGAAAAGAATGTAATGACTCTTTGGGGGGGGAAGAGAAGACATTTGCCTTTTTTTGTAAGATGGTGTATCTTTCAAAACTGTCTCCTAAACCTCAGCCTCTCCCAGAAGTGGGAGAGACAACTTTTGGGTCAAACGCCCTCGCCTCCACCTGGGACCCCGGGAGAGAAGAAACACAACTCCCTGAGGGTCGTCATCACCAGACGGTGATGCCCGCAGAACCCGTCTGTGCAGCTGCTTCCGCCCATCTCTGCCCACTCAGATCTTCAGACCTGGCTCCCACCGAGGCCCTGGCAGGATGGAACCACAAGGCTTACAGGAGCTTTTGTGTGCTTGGTAGAAACGATCTGTGCTCCAGTCACGTTGCCGTCACTCTTGCACTGTCTGCCACTGCTGAGGAGGCTGGCGACGGGCCAAAGAAGGCCAATGGGAGAAACACCCTTTCATCTCAAGATCTGTTCCGGCACTGGCCACCCTTCCCTGGGGCAGAGGGGCGGCGGGCGGGCAGAGCCAAAGCCCCCTAGTGCCGAGACCCTTCTGGCCTGGTCGCCGGCCTCCCCAGAAACGGTGTGCATGTATGATTTTGGAGTGTAGGTGACTTGTTTACTCATAGAAGCAGGTTTTTGCTTTTCTTTATTTTACAGGAGTAGAAGGGAAGAGTTCAGATGTGTGTCTGACTCTTCACCCCAATCTCT